TAAATGTGCTGAAAATATGAAGTCAGCCTGCGCGTGCTGTGCATGTCTGTGACGTAATCGCGTGAGACAGGCGGTTTCCTGTCCTTTTTGGCCCTCGCTGCTCGCCGTATTTCCGCGCGGGTCTGCTGAATGGAGGAGGTAAAGTTTGTTGAACAGCATGTATAACTTTAACTGAGCTTCGTTAGTCTTTCTTAGCCTGCTGCAGTTACAGTTACAGCCGCGTATTTGTTACAGTGAACCTGCCGTCAGCTGTATAACATTAGCATTAGCTTGTGGTGATGCTAAGCTGCTACTAGCAGGTCCTGTTCAGTGCTAAGTTGTGTCCGGACGACTTTACAGTTTAGTTTTCTCCGTATTACGATCACCAGATAACTGTGGATGGCCTCGTGTGTACGGAAGCTTCGTGGTGAAGCGCTTTGGCCTGTGGGAAATGTAGGAAACACCAGGACGAGCTGCGCACCGCAGGAAACCGCTTTGACAAATCAACCTTATTTTCGCTCACTTCATTAATAAAAGTCTTGTCACTTGAAGAACTGCAGTTTTCACACATCTCGCCGTTAATGTCACCCAGCTAACGGTGTAGTTTCAAGAAACAATGCAGTGTTCCTGCCACGAACATCACGACGGAAGCCCTGCAGGGTCGATCTGCGCAGCGGCTCTGATGGAAACGCCGCAGATAGTAGCTCATTCTCCTTCTTCCGGTTTCTCCTCTTAGTGTCTCCATAGCAACTCATCTGCCTCCTCTCACCTGGTCCCGAGGATCCAGGTCTGTCACCTGGTCTCAGGTTCAGCCTGAGCTGGCCCTCCTCGTCCATTCCAGTCACTCTAAAGACAAACTGAACATTTTCCACTACGACACATCCAGCTGGGTTTATGTTTTAATTTGAAGTCATTGTCACCATCTCCAAAACAGACACCGCAGCAGGTCTAACTATAAACTGTCCTTTTCACTCCTGTTGCATCCTTCACTCAGTGACCTTTAACAATTGTATTCACCCACTCCACTCTAGCTACACGCTTCTCTTTGTCACTCTTGTGCACTGCTTTGGATGGTTGATTCCAGCTGTTTAAAACTCATCTATCCCATTAGCTCTGCTTTTTGCATGTTTCCATCGGCCTCCCTCTCATTCACTCATCTTGCTTCTACTGACTTTTCTTCCTCTTCTCTTCAGTGCACACCTCCACCTCTGCAGACTCTCTTCCACTGGGTCCCTGCTGTCACTACAGATGACAGTGTTGTCTGCAAAAGTCCACAGAGACTCGTGCTTGGCCTCATCTGTCATGCTTTCAAACATCATTGTAAACGAGGGAGGCGCTCAGAGCAGATCCCTGATGTAAACCCAGCCAAACCTTCAGCTCATAAGCAGTCCTTCTGCACATACATGTTCTCCTGACGTCATCATGTAACACCACAGTTCCTCTCCTGGTTTCTCTGACGTGTTTCTTGTGGGACACTTCATAAACATGCTGCTCTGTCTTGG